TATATATATATATATATATATATTGATCCCCATCTAATTAAGAATTTGAACACCAATATTTTATCATATTACAAATCTCAAATCTCATACCATACAAATAAGAGAAAATATTAGGACCATGCAACGCAATTATGGACATCGAATATTAGTATGTATGCACACAATCTCTCCCAACACTCTCTCACCTACCAATATTTCCTCCACATATATCACCAAACCATCACAACATCATAACCATCTTCTTTACACACGGTCATAAGCATCAATTTAAATTTGCATAACACATACATGCATCTACCATTCATACCATATATAGATACGTATTCTCAACACTTGCTCCGGATCAGTCTGCCACGTCAGCTTTTTTCTCCTCCAACTCCTTCGGAGTATCAATCTCACCCTCCAACTCAGCCGGAACTTTCACCTCCTCCGCCGCCAGACTCGGCTCTGCTTCGGCGGCTGTCGGCGCTTCTTCCTTTTTTTCCTCTGTTTCATTCTTCTCTTCTATTTCCTCCGCCGCCAGTTCGCTGACCGGCGCCGCATCTTTGACTCCCTCGGGCGACACCTCTTCTTCGTGCTCCTTGATCGCTCCTGTATCTTCGGACTCGGGAAAGTCAACGACGGCTTGGGCGGCTTCGATCTCTTTCAGGATCTCCTTGGCGGCGGCCGTCGGCTCTGCAATAGCGGGGGATTCCGGGAACGTCAGAGTTTCCGGAGTAATGGGAATGGCCTCAACCTCGGCGGCTGGGGTTGATTCCACCTGTTAAAGAAATTACCTCAAGGTGGTTGCTTTCGTTCAGATATGCAATGATAAAAATCTCATCTTTCTCATCACAAATAAGGCTGTTAAATATTCGTTTTTGAGCCGATTTAACAAAAGAAAGAAGGAAGATACTGTATATTTTTGCCATGACAACATCGTCTAAAGTAGCTTATAATTATCTATGAAGGAAACAAAAGAGTATACTTAACAGAAAATTAACTGTTTTAATTATTATATAGATAAGGGCTCGAATTCAGCCCTTTAATTTAAAATATTTTATTTTATTTTAATTAGTGAAATCAGCGGTATGGAGAAGGAGGGAGGGGCTCACCTCAACGCTGGCCATGGGAAACCGACAGTAAACAAGAAGCGAGGATCAGAGAGAGAGAGAGGAATCTGTCCGTGAGAGTGGCAAAGAATGTTTTGAGAATTTATAGCCGAAATTCCTAATGCGTCCAATTATCCTGCCGACATATCAATCTTTATCAAGCTTATTGCATCATCTATTATATAGTTTGCGGTTAGGGGTGTAAACGAGCCGAACACGAGCTGAGCATGGTGTGTTCGTGTTCGGCTCCG